ACTGCTTTCTTCGATTATCCTGTCAGTTGATTGAAGACTACACAAAAATCGAGCATACCATACTGTCTACTCACGGTTAACTGCTTTCTTCGACTATCCTGTCAGTTGATAGAAGATTACACAAAAATCGAGCATACCTCCGGGAGGTGTATTCATGACTCCTGACCAAATTTTTGTTCTTGATAGGATCATCGAACAATACCGACGATTTCAGTCACCTTTGTATGTCAATTTCCTCGACTTTCAACCTGCATTTGATTCAATGCATCATATAACGATGTTGTGTACCACAGAATACTATGGGGTCCTGATTCCATGTTGGAAGGAATGCACGTAGGAAAAATATATACTGTGAAAATGTAAAGAGAGCTTTTTGAATGGCTCTCTATCAACCTCGCAGTACACCAGGAAGATTTGATTTTGTGTTTATTTTTTAACATTGTTCTCCAGCTTATCCCCCGGTATAATGCCGCCCCTGGGTAAAGCGAATGCCTGATTCTAGAGGGAAGGCGACAAACTAAGGCCATGTCTCACTCAGATGAACAGAGGTTGAATTTCAGGAAGTATTTCGAAGACATATTCGTATCTCGTAATATTCGCTCACCAATGCTTTGTGAATTTGGCCACATCGACCTATAGCAGTGGTCAGTACGGCAGGTCACAGAAACGAACCTTCCTTTACTTGGGTGTACATGAACGATACGATCATTTGGCTTAGTCTAACGAAATTCAACTGAGGCGCCAGCAAAGACCACTGGGATGTTTCGATAACAGTTTTGGCGGCCATGTGTAACCTCTGCAGAAAAATAGCGGCTCCGGTGTTTATTGAAGACCTTTAGGCCAGCGATAACAAGGCACTGAGGCGCTATTTGAAACTATCTGAATAGGCGGCTGGACTGTGCTACTAGAATACCATGTTAGTTATTGCGAAGAACATCTGTTTTGCCTCCCAGTGCCTTGTTAGCAGAATCATTGAAGACTCGACAACGGTGCACAATGTTCTTACAGCCTGCAAGCCGAAAGTGAATGTGACGTGGACGTAACTGCACTCTCCATAAGTTTAGACAAAGCTGTTTCATCGCTCAATAATGCTTCGCTTAATCTTGGTTCCAAAAATCCACAAAAAGTGATATGACGAACTGGACATTGGCTCACCTTGGCTTGTATACAACATGTATTGTAAGTACCTGGAAAACCGCTGAAATACCTGATCTGATGCAACAATGCAACTGATTGATTGGAAAATAACCACCATGTAATACAGAATGTGTCTTACTGTATTCTTCAACTAAAACCGTCAGCAAAGCTTCTAGAACTTTTTCCGCCTCCGTGATCACCGCCAGTTGAAGTGCCGATTCAGCCGAACTGTCGCGCAAAAGTGAAGTAGGTATCTTCAGCTTCTCAACGACAGGTACCGTAAGGGACTGAATAAGCCGGACCGATCCGGGCATCTCCTTCTGAACGAACAAAGACTGCAAGGTTCTAAGGCACTTCTGCTGCACCTGCAACATGTTAGGTAGACTGTCGATTAGCACCATAAATGTTACAAACAAGACTCACCACCAAGTTTGGATTACGGAGACAGTCCTGGAAAAGCTCAATACTGGAAACAATCAAGAACGAGTTATTTAGAACCGGTTTTGGGGCACTGAGAAGGAAAACTGCCACGGCTAGAACGATCACCGAATGATCAATCTGCCATTCCTCTGAAAATAACACATGCTAGGGCACATTCAAAAACAAAGACAGTTTAGAAATACCCGAAGCAAAAGTTCTGAAGGCCAGGACAGAGGAAAACGCGCACTGGATCATTTTCTTCCATCGATGACTGAGTTCACCGTTACAGTTGGGCTCGTAGACGGGCGACTTTACTATGCTCTTGAGCGCCTGTAGCGATACGGTGGCCGGTGAAGAAAGGTTCTTGGAAAACGATGGTGCCGAAGTAAAATGGAGCTTTTCGATTTTAGACGATTCCCGTAAAACGTTAATCAACAAGTAGACGATGATCGGCAGAACGACCAATTGCCCTGAAGAAGTTGCAAGACTAAGAGTGAGTATTTTTGATCGAAACTAGCTGAGTCGTAAACGAGCATGACATAATGACTAACACGCAAGTAAAACGTCAGTGCTGACTTCACTGTTCAATCTTTATAGCAAGGCACCACTAACCATGCCATTTTTGACGAAAACGGATTATTTACCTTCAGGGGAACAGAGTCGAGGAAGATGCAAGAGACACGTCAGCGAGGCTTCCACCAAAGTGGAAGAATCTTTCGACACCATTCGGAAACAATTCCAGTGAGCCTTGCTTTTATTCTTGAACATTAGCGGATTGATTTGCGGAATCTAGACATAATGAGTGACATGAGACACCAAGTAGAAAAAAGTTTGGGCAGAATTACCTGTTTGGTTAACAAGCAGAGAATGACTTCGAGCGAAGCATAGACGATCGACTTGCCAACTTCAAGCTTTCCCGATCTACCGCCTTCTTGACCTTTGTATTGACACTCGCCTGAACATATACAATCATGTAGTCAAAACGAGCAGTAAGAATGAAGAATGACACGCACGCATCAGATCAGTACATGAAACGCTGTTTTGAATTCAACCCGACATACAAATCCATTTTTACCCTTTCTACCATTTCTATCACCACTGATCTTATGCAATCTTTAGTACCAATTCCGGCAAGTTATCATTAGAAATTACTGTTTAGTACTGATCTTATAACAAAACTTACTGTCAGCGAGAATAATTGATACTTAACAAAGGCGTCTTCGTCCGGCCTATCTGACAGAATGGCAGTGCCTATTTGCATCGTTTCAACTGGCCACTGTTGCATGTTATTATTGCAAGGATGCAAAACTGTACCATCTTGTTGGACTGAACATGACTCAGCATCTATTCAAAGTAGAACACATTTATAAACCGACAAGTCAACTGAAATCGGGGTTACACTTTGTGATCACAGCTACGCTGGATAGCCAGCTACGAGGAGGGCCAAGGGGAAATGCAGCCACAAGGGGTCCTCTTCTCGGACAGTATGGCCGCACACTTCGTCCATTCTGGCACTAACAATCCAGTACTCAATGCTGTCCGTATTTTTCGCAAGATATCGACTTACCATCTGTTTATCGAATGGTTGCGCCAACGCAACGTGATGTTAATTTTTTGCTCCAGTGAATTCGCTGTTAAGACAAGGATTCTCTTTTGAGCCATTTCGAACCTGGTATCTCCCCTGCGGAGTTCAAAGTCGAATTTTTGCCACATTGGCACCATATCCAAAATAAAAAAATATACTCACTGCATTTCCCACTACAAATCACTGTGCACTTAAAGATTGCCGCCGTGGTGTATTTCCATTCATATGAACTACTGGAAAGCATCTTAAACGTAACGAGCGAACAGTGACCAAATATAAAAGCGAATGTCATCATGAGATTTTAATTCGACCGTTAGGACGGCCTTGAAAGTATGTCACTGATTCTATAATGAATAAGTTAAATGTGAAGGAAACGACAGATTAACAGCACTTTTAAGCACATCCGTCTACGAACATCAAACTTTGCATACAAAACCAAAATAACGAACTCTAATAAATGCATTAACCATGATTTTGCTACAAAATCTACATTCGTACACTTTCAAAATCTCGTTATTCTTGAACGTTGTAGATGGGAAAACGAACAAAGCAGAAAATAATATAATAAACAGTAAGATTCTAGGCCCCGGTTACAGAACTCCTCACAATATTGCCACCGAAATAAGATCTGTGAGAAAGCGAAGCTAATAGGCAAAATCTTACTTTCAGTAGCAGCGTTTGGGTCCAACGCTGACACGGAAAGCTCAGCAGCATCGATGATAAGTCGCAAGTTGTTAACACACAGATTCTGAATCTCGTAATCATCTCTTGTCAACAACAATCTAAAAATATAAATGGAATTTATTTTAGGATTTAATTATTAATCAAATTAATATTAACTTTAATTTCTCTATTAATACTGTGCTATAAACTTTAAGTCAATTATGACTTATGTGAAAGATTAAATGTATAATCATCAAGGTTATTACTCGGCTGCTACGGATCAAAATTTTACACAGCATATTACATGTTATATTTACAATTATATTTATTTTAGACATTTATATCTTATTTTTAGCTAAACCTAGAATTTTTTTATTAACGTTTCA